CGGTAGAAATATGAACGAAGCAGGACGGTATGAGTAGGGGTACTACAACATCGTGCCGGCCAGAGTGCCTCCTTCCCAGCTCATGCATGGCTTTGACGGTCACAATTTGCTGCAGATGTAGGCCCTGACGCCAGACACGACGGTGTCCATGGGCCCGTTGCTCTTGGGTCGAGGTGTTGGAGGCAGAGAGATCCGCCGAGATCTGTCTTGTTGCCTGATTGGGCCCCTCGCGCATTCTCTCGGGCCGACTGAGTGGGGGGTGCCAGTCATGCTGTCGGACCTGCGTTCGTGCGGCTGGGACGCCGATACTCATCTTATGCGCTCAATAAGAGTGTGCTGCTGTCTCCTTTATTCTCTGTCTGCTTGTCTATGATTGCTATGATGCTATGATATAAGAATGGCAGTGACCCCGGGAATCGTGCGCATCCAACCATGATAATATTTTATGACCCCATGACTAGGCTTTACATGACCTCTAGCCGCCCACTGCCTGTCTTGATCGTAGCATCTCCGGGTGTGCAATACAAAGACTTCCTACAAGGTTCCCACAGAATCACACGAACCGCTTCTGGCGATGCGTTCACATCCATTGTACCACTGCCCACCCGACATTCCGTCGTTCAAAACTTTTTGGAACTCCGGTAGAGCCCCTGTGGACAGACAGAAGCCCAAAAGACAATTCCTAAAAACGAAAGAAAGGTCGCATGAGATCATCCTCTGCGTTCGTGATCTCTCAAATGGCCGTCCTTACTCGCGAGCGAAATCTCATTACTGACACCTCAAGCGGTAATTGGCCACATAAAACCTGAAAACGCCACTGTATTTTGAAATCATGGAAAAGGAGCTCCTGGAGACCAAGTGCCTAGGAAATGTCTGTCTAATGTCCAAAAGGTGTTGGTCATTTCCTACAACACTAAGTTAGACACTAGACGCGTGCAGCGCGCGGTAACCCTTTTAAGATGACACGAATTAGCCCCTGCTTCTATTAGGGCAAACACTGAACCAATAACGGCTCGGTTCGGTCCCAAGAGGGTTTAGAGGACCGAACAGAGATTTGCATGGGACTGAACCACCCACGTTTAGGTCTCGACCCGACCTCAACGTGCATAGCAGGGACCCCGGCAGCATTCGAGAGAAACCGTCCTGAATGGTTATGGTTCTCTAAAGGTCATGGGTCGCCAGCGCCGCGGAGCCTGTGCTTAAGCGCTCAGCGAATCGTCACAGCTCCCACAGCTTCTGCAGGTGCTCGCCGAAGTCGTTGTCTTGCCGCCAACGCGCCCTGACGCGCCCCTGCCTGTGCGGGTGGTGGAGTCCCTCGATTTTGTAGGCGGAGGTACGCATTGCGGTTCGCCGCAGATTGCTCTTCCCGCTTTAGGAGCTCCTGCTCATCCCGTCTGGCGCTCTCCTCTACCTCCTTTCTGACCGCGTCCAGTACATTCCTGGCCAGCCCTGGCAGTTCCACCAGGATTTGGTCTGTGGTCTTTTGCAGCGCGGCGATTCCCTCGCGGCAGTGCAGCAGTTCGAGGTTGGTGTACAGCCGGCAGCGGCCGTCGTCTGTGTCGCGGTCTGGGTTGAAGTGCGAGTAAGCGTGGCGCCTCCTCTCCTCAAGAGACCATCGCTGGCTGCCGTCAGGTAGTAGATCACTGCCACACAGATAGCATTGAAGGTGTCCGCATTGGCAGGTGACCTTGTTGCACCCCTCTACCAGGAAGAATTCGACTTGGCATTTACTGTGGGCACGGTGTTCGTTAGCTCTACCTTTTCGGTGTTGTTATGTGAGGCATCCAATCTAAATGACTTACTTGCACCGCCGCTTCTTCGCATCGCTGAGACATTCGTGGAACCTCTCGCGCAGTTTGCGCCTGCTTGCTGCCAGTGCTAGCTCTTGAGCTTGCTGGCACGTCCTGCCCGCGTGGGCCTCCTTGTCACATAGTCGACAACTCTTCCTTCCACACTCGGGCAGCCCGCACTGAAACTCAGGACGCGTTGCGACGGGGGGATATTGCTCTCGATAGAACAGACAGAACGGGCACACCACGTCATTCGGACTGCCGGTCGCGGCTAGGTCTTCGCCCAACTGAGACCTGTCTAGGTGCTGGAATAGCGTGGGATTATACTCCTTGTTGGTCGCGTTGTCAAGAAATGTGAACTGGTCTGACCGAAAGGGCGCCGTACAGCCCTCGTCTGTCATGGGACAACGGACGAGCGCCGCGCCACCGCCAACGGTGGCCTTGGCCAGGACATGGAGGCATTCGTGGCAAAACACATGGGCCTTGGAACCGCGGCACCGGACGGCGGCGGAGGAGGCGGTACTTTCGGAGCAGATGCAGCTATCACGGTTAGTTGGCCCATGGGCTTCGAACGGAAGCAAAGTTCACACACCACTGTTCCTGGTCCCCC